TCAACATCTCAGTGGGTAGGTAGAATAAAGCACATTGTCCTTCCAATGTGCATGCTACCACTGGTGAAAAATGCAAATAAAATAAAAATAATAGAATAACATAGAATAGAATAAAAATTTTGCTTTGCCTGATTGCTTGGTGTTCCTGTCCTCAAACAGATTCACCCTCTCTCACTATTCCTCCAGTTTTTAGGGTTTGGGACTTGAGGGCCACACCGCAGGCTTTCCTGGGTCTCCAGCTGGCAAACAACAGAGTGGAACTCTTAGCCTTCATAATTGCAGGAGCCAGTTCATCTATACATGTACACAGATGCATACACACAGGTATGGGAAGTGGCTGAGAGCTTTCCTTGAAGAACTGTTGTTTATTTATGCATGAGTGAGGAGAAGCCCTGAGTACACCATTCCTTCCCTCCATCAGGAACTACATCCTGTTGTTTGCAGCAAGTGTACAAGGCGCAGTTACCTCCACGTGTTTTCTCTTTGCTGCTACATGCAAAAGCTTCAGTAGATGGTACTGTTCTGGGGCCTCCAGCTGAGACATCAACGCCAGGAGTTCACTCAGGCGTCTGTTAATTGGTTGAGGCTGCTTTTCATACACAGCAGGTAGCACCCTCAGCAACATGACATTTCCTGTGGGGTGAACCAGAAAAGGCTTCATCAGTTGGCATGCAGAAGAAACAACATTGATGTCAATACATACCTTTGCACTTTCTTATGCATTACATAGCAACGCCAGTAACTGTTTTCTGTTGGGGGAGAAAAAACCCACAATATCTTATTCTGGGGGGGAAAAAAAAACTCCACTAAAGCATGATTTAAGCTGATTTCATGAAAGGGGCTGTTTCATGATACAATCAGTACTCTTATCCAAGTAAAAATTTTCCTGAGTAATGTACCTCGGGGAAACAAGGCACATTTGACAGTAAGCAGGCCACGCCCTGGGAAGGAAAGGCTCCAGTGGAGAATTCCTGACAAGGAGCCAGGTTTCAATGATGCTAAAATGGAAAGTCAGTGGTGTTGAAAGCTTGAACCCAAATGAAACTGAACGAAGAGAAAAAAATTGGGAAAAACCACAGAGGAATGTCTTCACATTCCTGAGGGCCACAAAGAATGATGGAGGTCAAGGACATTCGGAAAGCAGGCATTGTGTTAGGAATAGTTTAAAAAGTAGCCATGCGGATTTAAGTCCCTAACTTTTGCATTCTTTGAAGGGCCTCAGTTTGTCACATGTGATTTGCCTCCACAAGGTGTGCAGACACCGGGATTTCAAATGGCAACACCTCAAGAGAAAATATTCCATAGGCAAGCAACATATGGGAGCCATCTGTTTATTGCTTGATGGTATGGATTTTTTTTCTCTTGCTCCCAAATTCCTCTCAAATACTTAAGCATCTCAGAGGAATTGGTTTCTAGGGATTTCTTGGACAAGAATTTTCTTGACACTATTTACTTTTTCATTTTTTTTTCTTGGCAACACCAGAGATTGAACCTAGGACCTCACACATGCTAAGCAACGTTCTACCACTGAGCTAAACATACCCCAGCCCCAAATGATTTTCTTTTAAATTTGGCTTTGTTTATAGGAGACATACATGGACAGAATTTTTTAAAAGCAGGAACTGTACACACATAGATCTTCATTAAGAGGTGAGGATGCACTCCTATGTAAAAGATATTTAATAATGGGTATGAAGGAAAGAATTCTCAAATATTTTGAGGTTTTACAGAATATCAATGCTTGCCTTTAGTGAAAGGGATAAAAATGAATGTATATGGTGACAATAAATATTGAGAATTGTCTTTCCCATTTGTATTTTTTGGACTCAGCTCAAACATGTCTTAGTTGTATGCCCACAGAATGTAAGGTGTTGGAAATACTCCATTACATTACATTTTCAACAATTTATGTAATTTATTTTTCTGTTTATCACTTAATAAGAGCTTCCTAAAGGATTGAAAGTGGGGTGTTTGTGTATATGTGTGTGTGTGTGTATGTGTGTGTGTGCACGAGCGCATGTATGCCCATATTGGGGCTTGAACTTTGGACCATGTGCTCTCCCTTAGCTTTTTTGCTCAAATTTAGATGCTTATCCCTGGAGCCATAGGTCTAATTTCAGCTTTTTGATGGTTACTTGGAGATAAGAGTCTCACAGAGCCAGGTGCCATGGTTCTGGCCTGTAATCCTAGCAACTCAGGAGGCTGAGATCTGAGGATCATGGCTCAAAGCCAGCCCACACAGGAAAGTCTGTGAGACTCTTTTTTTTTTGTCTTTTCTTTTTTGGTACTGGGGATCGAACCCAGGATGTTGCACTTGCTAGGCAAGCGCTTTGCCACTGAGCTACATCCCAGCTCAGTCTGTGAGACTCTTATCTCCGAATCACCAGAAAACCAGAAGTGGCGCTGTGGCTCAAAGTGGTAGAGTGCATGGGCTGGGAAGTTGGCTGAGTGGTAGAGTGCTTGCCTTGCATGAATGAAGCCGAGTTCTATTCCTCAGCACCACATAAGCAGAAAAAGCTGGAAGTAGTACTGTGGCTCAAGTGGTAGAGTGCTAGCCTTGAGCTGAAGAGCTGAGGGACAGCACCCAGGCCCAGAGTTCAGGCCCCACCACCACCACCACCAACAACAACAAATGGGCTGGGATGTAGCTCAGTGGCAAAGCGCTTGCCTAGCAAGTATAATGTCTTGGGTTCGATCCTCAGTACCAAAAAATAAAAGACAAAAAAAAAAAGTGATAGAGCACTTGCCTTGAGCCAAAAAGCTCAGGGCCAGTGCCCAGGTCCTGAGTTAAAGCCCACCACCACCAACGCAAAGAAAAGACTTCTTTGCTCAGGTTGGCTTTGAACCATGATCCTTAGATCTCAGGCTAGTATTATAGACATGAAGCACTGGTACCCAGAAGGATTGAGAGTTGAGTGCAGCACTGAATTTGTACGGAACACACTAGGTCACAGGGCTTAGTTATAGTGACACGATGACCATCTTCTGATGGAAGATGTCATGATGTGGGACAGAAACACCACAAGTGGCTTTTTGTACAATGGTAACCGAAGGCCTAGAAGGAGAACTGTCACTAGCTTAGAGGAGAGAATCCTAGCTCAGTCATTTTCAGCTGAGCTCAATTTTAAATCAAGTAATAAAAAAGTCAATGCAGAATAATTTTCTGTGTTAGAAACTGATGCTAGAATGTGCCCATCAATCTATAAGCAAACCCACAGGTGGTATGCAAGTGGTTCCAAATGAATCTACTGAAGGATAATAGACTATGGAAAGCTCAAATAGTATAGTTCTTTGAGAAGATTAAGTCAAAGCCCAGTAAAATAAGTACCAGGAAATGGGTACCTGCAAGAGGGGATTGTGGGGCCAAAGGGAGAGAGGTAGATGAAGCTGGGAAATGGGGAGAATTCAGGCAAGAATTCATTGTACATACCACAGAATTAAGAAAAATAAGGGAAGGGGTGGGTCAAAGGGGGTGGAAATGTTGAAGGGATCACACAAACTGCTCTGCTGAATGGCAAAAAATTCAATATCTGACTTAAAAATGAAGAAAAGTGAGGGATGGGGAGGAGGCAGCTGGGAGGGGTGGGTGAGAGGGTTGGACAGGCAACATTGATCAAGCAGCACCATATCCATAAACTGCTTTCTTGAATGCAAACTCCCTTGTACAACTATTCAAAGATAATAAAATAGTATCCAGAAAAGGGAAACTGGTGAACACAGCTGAATGAAGAAATCTCGTTCTCACTCATAAATTATGACAGTATAGGCAATAAGGGCAGGGGCCAGACACTGTCCATCACCTTGTGCCGTAATTGTTTCCTGTGAGTTTCATTGTTCTCCCTGAAGACAATCTCCACGCAAGAATCGGTGTTTCTCTACATGGGAAATCTTCACACCGTTAGTACATGTGTATGTCTCCATAATCTTTTGCATGACTTCACATTTTATGAATAACATCGTAGGTTACAGTGTAGTTAAGTTATTCGGTGATATTAATTATATGATAGTATATCCTACTACATGATATACCATATGCAGTAACATATTTTTCCATTCCCATTGACGTGTTTTTTTTTTTTTTTTTGAGGATTTTCGCCATTTGTTCTCATAGCTGGACGGTGTTCTGTTTATAGATGTGGGCAGCAGCTCTCTAATCCACCCTACAGCTGATTCCACGTTTACCAACCCGTGTCACCTACTCCCTAGGCACGGTTTCTAGCCATGTCATGGACCGTGGGTCGTCTGCAGGTGCAGATGAACCGGGTCTGAGAAGGCGAATGTGCAGTGAGTCTTGATTGGGTCTGTCCAGGTGCTGGGACCACAGAATTCCTAGCAAGGCAGATTCCCCAAATGGGTTTCTAGATCTTCCCAAAGCCTCTGCACAGAGGATGCGTTTGTTTTCTGTGGCCGTCACAGCGGAGGATGGCAAAGTAAATGTACTGTCTTCCGTGGACGGAATTCCAGGCTGGACAGGCACGTTCCTGGCCGAGGTCAGGGCCAGGCAGGCGCGCGCTTAGTACCCGGGAGAGAGTCGGCTCTTCCGCTCGGCCAGCCGGTCGGGGTGGGAATCCTGCGCAGGCTTCCCCCCGCACCACCCCCCGTGCCAGATGGTGATTTCTGTACCCCTGCGCTCCCGACGCCCCCCCCCCACTCCCCTAGCCCGGCCAATCCAAGTCACCACTGATCTCCAGGGGACAGTGGGAGTCCAGTCCCTCTTCTCTCTCCCCGCTGGCCCTCCTCCAATCAGGGTAAACCATTGTGCAAGTTCTGGGCTCCCCGACTTCCCCCGTCCCCTCCCCCAGAAGCTGGAACTCGCTTCGCGCGCGCAGGGCGGCGTTGCGCGTTTGCCCCCGCACGGACTCGCGGTCCTTATTAAGGGCCGGGCTGGGCCCGGGCTCACACCCCCTCCGCGGCTGGGCTCCGACGCGGCCAGCCCCCGCGCTCCTTCCCAGGCCGGCGCTCACATCCCCTCCGCGACCCCGACGCGCTCCTCCCTGGCCATGCAGCTCCCCGCGCTGCTGCTGTGTGCGCTGAGCGCCGCCGCGGGCGCTGGCCCCGCGGACGACTACGAGCTCCTGTACGTGAACCTGGATAACGAGCTGGAGCCCGTGCAGCTCCCCACCGACGAGCGTGAGTCTCCCGGCTCCCACACCGCGGCGCCTCTCGGGTCCCGCTGTCCCCCGGCGCGCACGGCACAAAGACGATCGCGCAGACAGGGGTCTGTCTGCGCCTAGAGATTCACCCGGGGGGCGCTCTGGAGACCTTCACGCATCTGCTTTGGGGGTGTCCTTCAGAGGAGGGGTGCTAAGAGCAGGAGGTGACCTGGTATCCCCGGGGAGATAGGCCGGGACCAGAGACCCCTGGGGAGATCGGCCGGGACCAGAGGCCCCTGGGGAGATCGGCCGGGACCTGGGACCCCCAGGGAGGCCGGCAGTGGACCTGGGACCCCCGGGGAGGCGCGGGAAGGCCCCGGGCGGGCCGGTGACCGGTGCGTGTGTGTCCCGCTCCCTAGCCACGCCGTGCGACTGCCGCCGCGAGCCCTCGGAGTGGGACAAACTGTTCACCATGCTGGAGAACTCGCAGATGCGGGAGGCCATGCTGCTGGAGGCCACCGACGTGGTGCTCCGCGGGGAGATGCAGAGGCTGCGAGCGGAGCTGGGCCGGCTGGCGGGCGGCCTGGCCCGGCCATGCACCGCGGGCCCCGGGG